TAAGTGACATTAATATGAATTTTTCAATTTGTTTCAAAAATCTTATCTTTTCACTAACTCATCAAATTTTTAATACTCAAAGCACAATTTCTCCATCAAACCAAATCAAACTCTTCCTCCATGAGAGCTTTTAAGCACGTATGCACGAGCTAAAACGCGTATAAAATTAGAATTTCACTATAGAACGAGCATTTTAGGTGATTGTAAAAATATATTAAAAAATTATGGGTCTGTTTGGATTGTTGTTTGTTTATCTATTGTGGTTTTGTGTGTTTATTTGGGATAAATTTTAAGAGAATTTAAAACGTATTAATTTGACAAAAAAATATTTTCGTTAACTATCTTTGACCGCTACCAGACGTTGCTTCGTTAGCAACGCTATACTGAACCGCGACCGTTTACTCAAAATTTCAGAATTTTAGCGCAAAATTTTTTGCCCCACCTAGTGTCGGGGCCTGGCTCCACCCCTACGCACATGCATTGCTGGACCTAGGAGTCTTGGAAGGCACATATAATACGTTTATAAATGGCAAAAGACAGTCAAGTAACCCTACAGAAACTACCATGCCAACCAGCGCTCAAGTAGTTCTTTGGGATAAGGATAATTACCCTTGTGTCCCAAACCCTAAACCCCCGAGTTTTTATCAAACGACGATTAACCCTCTAAGTTATAAGAGCATTTTGCATGATGGAAAAGAAACAGAATTAGCAGTGGGGTGCAGGTTGGAAAAGATACATAATAAAGTAGGATGTGGAGGCAGTTTTTGTTTTCAGAGCCCGGGCTTATGAATCGATTATGTTCCATGGAGCAAGGTACTTTTAGAAATAGAGCACAATCTACATCCGTTTTACCTACCATATGACAGCATAATGGGGTTTACGAGTATATGAATTTTGCCAAACACCGCGACGGACAATGTAGTATGTGACAATATAAAGGTCCAGAACCCAACCTCTACAGTGCCACATAGTCGCATCATTGAATTAATTAGAAAAGTGCACCAACCGAGGACAAATAGATGAGATACCCATATTTCTTATGGCCATGTCGGGTGGTGTTTCATGGGGGTAAAAGAATTGATATTTGCTTCACATTGCTTGAATGAAATTTGTACAAACCCGTCTGCTTCCATTTATGAGAAGCATAGAAGGAAGATGAGAAAATATGAAATTATGAGAAATTATCTAAAATTTGAAAAAGAAGCGTGGTAACCTAGCTTGTTGCCATATGGCCCACATCCATAAAAATGACAACATTAAATCCAAAAGAGCTAAATTCAATATCCTGTTTAGCATAAAATCCAAAAGGACTACTTTGGAAAGTAGTGGTAACCTAAGCTTGTTGCCATATCCATAAAAAAATGACAACATTAAACCCAAAATAGCTAAATTCAATATCCTGTTTAGCATCAAATCCAAAGGGATTACATTAGAAAGCCTTCTTCTCTTCACATACTCCTGTTTACCTGAAAGAAATGAAACAAATTCAATACCGTTAAGTAAAACTTGACAAATGCCAAATAAATTACTATGCTCAATGAAATCAATGCAAGCTTCATTATAAGCTCCATGGTAAACAATGAAAGGATATTAAGGGTCTAATGTGAATGATGCACAAAATTAAATAAAACAAAACATATACAAAGAAAAAATACCAATCATAATCTCTACGCATCACTGCCCAGGTCAAGATTAGATTCAGTCATCATTGCTACCATAGAAAAATGAAAAGGGAATAAACCACAAAGGAATGTTGTTCAATATATTAGTAGAGCAAAAAAGGCTGGTGAACACAGAGAATACTAAATCTATATTTCAATTTGTCTTTTGACATTCCATCTGAATGAACATTATGAAATCAACAAGGTTTACAAAGAAAAAGACTATCCAGCATAATTCTAGCGGCCTATGCATCAAATCACAAAATAAACAACTATCTAGCCATAATACTAGTGGCCTACACTCAGATGTGTTGCAACCGGTTCTAATCCCTGACTTAGATAGATTTCATAGAGCCATGGGATTAACATAAGTCATATTTCAAAGCCGCACTATTTGATATGCTTTAGGCAGTGATAATCATAAGAGGGGCATGCCCAGTCATTATTTGATATGACATGTGACAAAATAAGAGTAGTCATGATATCTGTTTTCAATTTATTTGGTAAAAAACTAGACAGACATACAGACTGAAAGACAAGGCATACAAACTAGAGCATCATACAGCAATTAACCCATTTAGACAATATTATTAACCACAAAGTCAACTATATTTCTTCACAAACAACTAACCAAAACAGTGCACGTTATCTTGTCATATTTTTCCACCACTCACTCAACCCAAACAGAAACATTTATCAAATAAACAAGGCACAAGTATTTGAATGGCATTATATTGGTTCCAAAGTTTGAAGCATTCTCAAACAACACACAAAGTATTTAAATAACATTTATCTTGTGTCCAAAATTTGTAGCATTCTCAATAAAAAAGGCATAAGTATATGAATGAGTTAAGAAAACGTAGCATACGGTGTTGCAATTATTTCTTACCAGGCAAAAACATTGGTTTGTTTCAAGGCACAAGAGGAGGACCCATCCCAAACAACTTGTTAGCCTCAGGGATGTGCGTTCGGTAATACACAACGGAAGCCTCTCCGTCATCCCCCAGGTGCACAACTAACCAAAAAAGAAATAATGTTAGTCTTTCGTAAATAAACAAATTCTAACATAAGCTAAACTTAATATATGTAAATAATAACACAACCTTTTGCAATACCACCAGTGCGGCGGTCAAATCGAGATGCAGTGCAAATACCGCGCAAGACAGCATTACACGCATGATTGATCACACGCCCTCATGTATCTTCCCCACCATTGCGCCGCCAACGGGTACCATTCAAAGTTGGATCCATGCCCATCCTAAAGAAAACACACACTCAGTTAAGAACACAAACGCACGCACTTTACGAAGTAATTTTTAACCCAAAAAAAACTGAAAAACAAACCTTCTCGCAATAGTATGTCTGGCAAAAAAACCGCCAGAACCCATTGCAAAAGAGGTAAGTTGTTCATCGGCCACTCTATGTTCGTTGATATAATAAATGTGAGCATCACCCTGCAAAAGGTTCATAAGAATAATCATGTGAGAACCTCAACAAAAACCTAAAAACCAGATTATATAATGACAACATACTTGAATGTTTTTACCGATTGAGACTATAAAAAATTGATTTTTAGGAGGAATCAAAACCCACAAAACAGAACATTAACAGAGATTAGTGAAATCCAGACAAGCTTTAAGTAGTTGCACATCAGTACCATAAAAACCATAACACCCTAAGATTATTATTGACAGCTATGATGGAAAAAAGTATCTTACCATAGATCAAATCCAGCCAATAAAGAGACAACACCCTTTCCAGCCTGATTTTGTCGCAGATAATCCAATATCAGATACAAGGAGTTGTTTAAGCCATTTACTACAATATCATCGGCCAGTCGTTTGCCTCAAGACACATTTCCAGAATAGCTGAACACAATCCTTTGTGAAAAAACATAAATCTTGTCCCGGTCATCACGAACTAATCAGAACACAATAAGTAAACAAAAACAATGTAAGTAACAGATTATACCCAAACAAAAATAAGAAATTCAACAATCACAGGAGCAATACCAACCTATATGATCACCAGAAGTCACTCCACCGTCCCTACCAAATACTATGCGAGTCTCCCCGCCTGAAATATTGACTTTTGCAGCACCAATGGTAGTTTTGGAATTGAATCCTGCTAGTGAGTATGCTTGGAGTACCTCTCTTTCTGTAATTCAGATTAAACATAAGCCAATGGCATACATTTTAACAGAAGACACGTTGCAAATCCAAAATTTTGTAAAATTCATATTCCAGCAAAGAGCTCTGGGAATTGATAAAAAATTGCAAAAGAATCACAAGCCACATATTTTGGAAACTCATAACCAAGCAAAGGGCTGGGAAACTAAAACGCAAGCAAAAAATCGATTAAAACATAAAGGTCCGCAAGAACTGGAAAAACACAAAAAAAAAAAGAAAAAAAACCAAAACTGAAATAAACATCTCAAATATGAAAATCGGGAAGAAATAGATCTAGATCTATAGGACAATCGAAATCAAACCGTACAATGAAAAAGCAAAAGAATGATTGATCTAAATAAACCTTCATTGTATGATAATGGAAAAGCAAAAGAATGAAAAAACAAAAGATCTATAGGACAATCGAAATCAAATCGTACGATGAAGGTTTGTTTAGATCAATCATTCTTTTGCTTATTCTTTTGCTTTTTCATTGTACGGTTTGATTTCGATTGTCCTATAGATCTAGATCTATTTCTTCCCGATTTTCATATTTAAGATGTTTATTTCAGTTTTGGTTTTTGATTTTGTTTTTTTTGTGTTTTTCCAGTTCTTGCGGACCTTCATGTTTTCATTGATTTTTTGCTTGCGTTTTAGTTTCCCAGCCCTTTGCTTGGTTCTGAGTTTCCAAAATATGTGGCTTGTGATTCTTTTGCGATTTTTTAAACCCCAATTCGTGTTTTTTTGATCAATTCCCGGAGCTCTTTGCTGGAATATGAATTTTACAAAATTTTGAATTTGCAATATACCTTCTGTTAAAATCTATGCTATTGGCTTATGTTTAATCTGAATTACAGAAAGAGAGGTACCCCAAGCATACTCGCTAGCAGGATTCAATCCAAAACTACCATTGGTGCTGCAAAAGTCAATATTCTAGGCGGGAAGACTCGCATAGTATTTGGTGGGGACGGTAGAGTGACTTCTGATTATCATATAGGTTGGTATTGTTCCTATGATTGTTGAATTTCTTATTTTAGTTTGGATATTATCTGTTACTTACATTTTTTTTGTTTACTTATTGTGTTCCGATTAATTCGTGATGACCAGGACAAGATTTATGTTTTTTCACCAAGGATTGTGTTCAGCTTTTCTGGAAATGCGTCTTGAGGCAAACGACTGGCCGATGATATTGTAGCAAATGGCTTAAACAACTCCTTGGATCTGATATTGGATTATCTGCGACAAAATCAGGCTGAAAAGGATGTTGTCTCTTTATTGGCTGGATTTGATCCTATGGTAAGATATTTTTTTTCCATCATATCTGTCAATAATAATCTTAGGGTGTTATGGTTTTTATGGTACTGATGTGCAACTACTTAAAGCTTGTCTAGATTTCACTAATCTCTGTTAATGTTCTACTTTGTTCTGTTTTGTAGGTTTTGATTCCCCCTAAAAATCAATTTTTTATAGTCTCAATCAGTAACAACATTCAAGTATGTTGTCATTATATAATCTGGTTTTTAGGTTTTCTTTGAGGTTCTCACATGATTATTCTTATGAACCTTTTGCAGGGTGATGCTCACCTTTATTATATCAACGAACATGGAGTAGCCGATTAACAACTTACCTCTTTTGCAATTGGTTCTGGCGGCTTTTTTGCCAGACATACTATTGCGAGAAGGTTTGTTTTCCAGTTTTTTTTTTTGGATAAAAATTACTTTGTAAAATGCATGCGTTTGTGTTCTTAACTAAGTGTGTGTTTTCTTTAGGATGGGCATGGATCCAACTTTGAATGGTACCCGTTTGCGGCGCAATGGTGGGGAAGATACACGGGGGTGTGTGATCAATTATGCGTGTAATGCTATCTTGCGCGGTATTTGCACTGCATCTCGATTTGACCGCCGCACTGGTGGTATTGCAAAAGGTTGTGTTATTATTTACATATATTAAGTTTAGCTTATGTTAGAATTTGTTTATTTACGAAAGACTAACATTATTTCTTTGTAAACCTTGTTGATTTCATACTGTTCATTCAGATGGAATGTCAAAAAGACAAATTGAAATATAGATTTAGTATTCTCTCTGTTCACCTGCCTTTTTTGCTCTACTAATATATTGAACAACATTCCTTTGTGGTTTATTCCCTTTCCATTTTCCTATGGTAGCAATGATGACTGAATCTAATTTTGACCTGGGCATTGATGCGTAGAGATTATGATTGGTATTTTTTCTTTGTAAATGTTTTGTTTTATTTAATTTTGTGCATCATTCACATTAGACCCTTAGTTATCCTTTCATTGTTTACCATGGATGTTATAATGAAGCTTGCATTGATTTCATTGAGCATAGTAATTTATTTGGCATTTGTCAAGTTTTACTTAACGGTATTGAATTTGTTTCATTTCTTTCAGGTAAACAAGAGTATGTGAAGAGAAGAAGGCTTTCTGATGTAATCCTTTTGGATTTGATGCTAAACAGGATATTTAGCTATTTTGGGTTTAATGTTGTCATTTTTTTATAGATATGACAACAAGCTTAAGTTACCACTACTTTCTAAAGTAGTCCTTTTGGATTTTATACTAAATAGGATATTGAATTTAGTTCTTGACTCTCGTCATTTTCTATGGATATAGCAACATGCTTAGGTTACCACGCTTTCTTAAGTAGTCCTTTTGATAAATGGTAAATGAAAAAACTGGTTTTTAAAAAATATAAATTTTAAAACATTATAATAATATTATAAATTAATAAATACTGTTTAAATAATTTAAAATATGAATTTTTTAATTTTTTTAATGATTTTAATTTGATGGAAGGTCAAATTACGTGAAAAGATGAAAATACCCCTGACTCCGGCAAGTCAACGGCCGATCAACATCGAGTTGGACGGAAATGTGGTCGAAACAGTAAAATGGGACCAAAAAAGTGTGAACAGATAATGTTTGGAACTACGATATTGAAATGTTAATGTAAGGGACGTAAATTCAAGTAAGGGCAAATGTAAGGGACCATTTCAACATTTTACTCGAATATAAATTATAGCCAGGGGATCAAAAAACTTACTACTGAAATATTCACCCCTCTCAGGCGCATAATACACACCAAGACAAAGTGCGGCTTTGGCCTCCTCTGTAGCTTCAGCCTTGGACATTGTGTTAAGCCTGTAGAAAAATCAGACACAATTTCTTAAGAGTCCCACAAAATAAGGTGAAATTCCAAGAACCTAATCTGAATAGAACATAACAGAAACTAAAGCAATTAAAATATAGAAGTGTGGATGCATCAACGACCATGTATCAGCTGAGCCTGAGCTTAGAAGCAGGGCAGCTGGTCTTGCCACACACTCCCAAATTTGTTGAGGAACTGCTTTTGCCATTGCACTACATCCTCATTATAGACCACCACTTCAACCCCGGTTCTTCCAAGATGGAAAACTTGAATACAGGAACAAAGAACATCAGCAAGGAAAGGGAGGAATACTCCTTTCGTCCCACTCTAATAAAATACTTTGTAGAACAAGCCCAACGAAGTGAACAACTAAAAATGGACGAATAGAGTATAAGAAACCAGAATATAAATTATAGCCAGGGGATCAAAAAACTTACTACTGAAATATTCACCCCTCTCAGGCGCATAATACACACCAAGACAAAGTGCGGCTTTGGCCTCCTCTATAGCTTCAGCCTTGGACATTGTGTTAAGCCTGTAGAAAAATCAGACACAAGTTCTTAAGAGTCCCACAAAATAAGGTGAAATTCCAAGAACCTAATCTGAACAGAACATAACAGAAACTAAAGCAATTAAAATATAGAAGTGTGGATGCATCAACGACCATGTATCACACGTTACAACTTTTAAATGTTATCATCGTACATGAAAAAGAGGCATACCTATGAACAAGTACAGAAATACCACCAAAACCGGATCCGATTCCAACCAGATTATCATTAACCAGTTCTCCCTTACCGTTCACTGTATACAGGGCAGGTCCCTACACAAAGACAAGCCATAATCAATCAAGTAAGAGTCATAAGTGAAAACAAAAGGAAGAGAGAGCGTTCTAAGATATACCGATTCGTTGTCCCACCCGGCGATTAGTATTCCTAGTGACAAACTGTCATTACTGTCAGGTTTACGAAGCAGGAAGTCAGTCAGCCACTTCGCTGCTTTTGTAGCAGAAACTTTTTCCCCATGCTTGCGCTCCTGGTCCAGACACAACAACACATATAATGTCCACATTTATTACAAAAGCCCATCTTTCTAAGATTGCACCTAAACATAGTGTTCACAATAAACACAAGCAGCAAGTACCAAAGTCGGCAGACTGAGCAAGAATTGCTTCGACTGGGTGCTCCCTCCAGAAAAAGCAACAAGCACATTGGAATCGAGTACGATAACATTTTCTGGATATGCAGGAGCTGACTTGCGAGATGACGAGACGGTAACGTTTTCTGGATGTGCAGGAGCTGACTTGCGAGATGACCAGCCTGATTTGCGAGATAGCAAGCCTAATTTGCGAGATGATGAGCTTGATGTGCGAGACGACGAGCCTGCCGAGCGAGACAACGAGCCTGCCGAGCGAGGTGGCGAGGACAAGAGTGAATGATCAACAGCTGAGCCTGCCAAGCGAGGTGACGAGGACAAGAGTGAATGATCAACAGCTACCAGTATCCCTACGGAGTTGAAAATACAACCCATGGCGGTGGTTCCCTTTGGAAACCTAGGCAACTCTTCGTCCTATACACAGAAATACATACTTATAAATTAAACACTCGGCAAAGAACACAAAAAGGGAATATTTGCAAATAGTAACCAAGCGTACATAGTATTCTATAGTAATTAAATTAAAAGATAGAGAAGAAAACTGACGCCATCAGAAGGATAACCGTTGGTAATATCAGGATAAGCGTTCGAAGGTGATCCCATTGTTCGTTCCCACCTTCTCCGGTACAAGGAAAACAAACAAAATCATTAAACGAAGATTAATATACGGAAATTCGAATTGGAAAAGGAAACATCAAAACGAGATCTAGTTCGGAGAAGAGAAGTGAAATACATCTTACTTTTGGCCGGCGGTAGAGAAGGGTTTAGGTCCGCGGGTGACTGTACCAATCGTTCTCACCTTCAATCCGAGCAAAATAAACAAAATCAGACGAATCGAAACAAAATTGATCTGGTGGATGTATGTGGACGCTTTGCCCTAATTTTTCCGAAGAGTTCTCATTCGATACCTCATAGGATTAATAAACTAAATAAATGGCATACAGCAAGAATTCGATCCAACAAACAAACAGCGAAACCCTAATTCGATGAAGGAAAAAGGGGATCAGAGATGATTTACCTGTCGATAAGTTTTGTTACGCGTATCTCCTGGCTCAAATGCTCAAGGATTGCTTCTATTATCTTTTTTTTTTTTTTTTGGGGTAAAAGATGGAAAAAAAAAATTTCCTACAACTGTTACAGTCCAATTATTCTCGTTCAACTAACATAGTTGTATATGTCGGGCAACATCAAAAGAATATAATTCTCCATTGTTACTTAGAGCTTCCTTTGCTAAGATATCCGCACTGAGCTTCCTTCTATTATCTTTTTAGTATCAGTATTATCTACCACCAAAAATAAAAGAAAAAGGAAAAGAAAAATGATGTTTTGACCTTTAACCGGTCCATTTATTGTTGACTAGATATATGGATGGGTCAACTTGTTTCAGGTTCGTTGAGGGCCCAAGTTATTTTTAGTTAGCCCAGTGTAAATTTGGACTTGTGGGCAACTTGTATCAGAAGTCGGAACAACGACCTGTTGTTTTGAGAAATATAGTTAAACATTTCTAAATTATAATACTGTTAGAACTCTAAAAAATTATTAATTTATCGATGTATTAATTATCAATATACTAATAATATTAATTTAAAGAAAATCTCAACGAATCCTATTAATTTTTCAAGCTTAGCCGTATAAGATTTATATTCTTTTATTTCCTTATACCCCTTATGTATTACTCGCTCTAGTTCTTATTATAAGGCATTTTGATTTCGTCCTAAGTTTCATCTATGATGTCTTTTTAATTAGAAAAAACCTTTAAAATATATTTTCATATTATTTGTGTTCTCCTAATTACTATGAAATATTTTTAAGGTTTTTATTTCAATTAAAAAGACATCTTAGGTAAAATCTAGGACGAAATCAAAATGCCTTTAATAAGGACCGGAGGGAGTAGAATTTAGACTCTACCATCATCTTAAATTTGATCACCTACCCGATCTACATATCATGCCTCTATTAAAAAAGATTTAGTCTTTTTCTGGGAAATCTTTAAACTCTTATTAATGGCTAGATACATCATGCAAAAAATGTATATCATCTACAATTTCTATATATATAAATTTCAAGAAAAAATAAATATCGCTAGATTCATATTTTACTAGCACATAATTTTTTGGAAAAATTATCGTAAAGGGCATCCCAAACATCATAATTATTCTACAAGGCATGGGCTTTAATCATGAATAATAAAATACTTGCACTAATTTTGCATCTAATACATTACTGTGTTGCCCTTTTATTCACTGAACCTAATCCGATCCTCGTCCCCTTCTTTACCGTAATTTCTCTTCCAAAAAAAAAAAAAATACTCTTCCAAACATTGTAGCAAAGCAATGCCAAATTAAAGTCGTCATTTTATGCACCAACAAATTAAATTATATTCCACTTTTTTCTTCTTTTCTTTATTGCACTCACATGTCCTTAAATATTATTTGAGCGACTGGAGAGCCAAAGGTAGATGAGATGATAATTATTTAGCAGATTGAAGGTTGGCGTCACAGAGATCGACTATGAGCATAATGTCGATCTTTTATTTAATGTTAAGCTAAAGATGGCTCAAAGAAATTGGGAATTTGATGTGTAAGCTGAAGCATGAAATAGAAAACACCATGATTTGATTTTAAAGTCTTGATATTCATTTGTATTGTATTTCCGGTTAATTTTGCGACGTCAGATAGAATCAATCATCTTTTTTAGTAGTAGTAAATTGATGTAAGAATTCATGGATGAAAGAGGATGTAGGCCAAGAGAGGAGACGAAGGGTATTATTTTCTTAGATTGAATGAAAAACTTTTTAAAAGATTTTTAATAATAATAAAAAAGAACAAATAAAACTCATGCCTTTCATAATAATTTTTATCTTTGTGATGCCCTTAACAAAAAATTTCCCTAATCTTTTTATTTCAAACCATTATTAATCTATGATATTAACAGGACCTATATTTACATAGGGGTTTTACAAAAATCATTGTCTTATTATTTTATCGATTATCTTTGTTTTTTGTACTGGTCTCGATTTGGGACCGGAGAAAATTATTAATTTCTCAATGTTATTAATTTATCGATTATTAATTTATCGATGTTCTATTGTATAAAACGAGTATCATTTCTTATTATAATACTACTGCCTCTAACCCGGAAAAAAAATAGTCCTTGCCTAGATTTGAGCTCGTGTTTTTATTACAATTAAAATTTAATTCGGACTATTTTTTCTGTGAGATAGAGTAAAACAATAATAATAATATAAAACTTTCAAAAAGAAAATAATAATAGTTCGACTCCCTCCATCCAAAAAAAAGTCTGCAATTACGTTTGACTTGAGATTTGTGCTTTTTTTATATATACAAATTTATAAATTCAACGTGGACTTTTTTTTTTTCTTTTGGACGAAAGGGGTAATAATACTCCCTCCATTTTGAATTATAAGTCACTGGAGATAAACCCAAATTTTTCCAAATATAAGTCGTCCTCATATTTCTAGGTGTTTTTTACTAATTTTTTTTTTCCAATAATGCCCACAGTCAAAGCAACCGTGTATATTTATGGCGTCGTCATTTTCAAGGGTTTTTCATACTCCTTCCACCGTAATCATCCTTATACTTAAATAAAAGGCACAGTAGGTAAGAAATAATGCACAAGAAATATTCAAGAACTACAGTCAAATCGATCTTGTCCGTCGGATAAGGTTGATGTGATGTCAGCGACTTATTAAGGGCAAAAATGAGAATTCAAAAATTCAGTTTATTCCAATTAAAAAAAACCCGTAACCTTTTGAAAAAAACAAACCCCTAACCTATAAAAGGATGTCGTTTCAAGATTTAACTTTGGAATCCCCACTCTTGGAAACAATATATTTACAAAACCTGAAAGTTTTTGGTTAAGAAACAGCAACAAAACGACTTCGTTTTGTGGGTTTCTCTAGGGAAAAAAAATAAAAAAACAAAAAATAACTCACACCATTTAAAATCCCAAAACAACCCCCGTCATTGTTTCTAATTTTTTTCCCACCAATAACCTCCATAAGGCTGTGCTCTGCCTACTCAGTCAGGTCCCCCTTCGTCGATTCAGCCGCCATTGCCGCTTCCCTCTCTGCATCCTCCGCCACCACTAAACCTCGAAGATATATTTTCCTTAAATATGCTTCTCCAATTCGTACCATTCCGATTCCACCTCTACAAATTTAACTAAACAAAAACCCTAAGTTCCACTGGAGTCACCCCGTCGAAGAGATTTTGCAAGAATGACTTCCTTCACTTGTACGAGATCGAATTCGTGGGAGAGCAACCGCATGTATCGTATCACGGTGGACATCATGACGGAGGAAGCGAGGCGGAGCTATGTGTTTGGACGGAATAGGATTAGGAAATTACCTTTTTATTTGATTTGGAGTTGTATGTGTAATAGGACTAACAAATTACTGTTTAATTTTTATTTATATATTTTCATAAATTTGGAATTGTAATATGATTAGGCAATTCAGTTCCTCTCTGATTTCAGATTTGTTTGGGGATGAGAATAGAAATCCCCTGTCGGCCAGCATGTCTATAAAAATCCCTAGCAACCTTACAACTAGGATCACAAAAGGCTTCATTCTTCAGCTTACCAGTTTCTTTGATTTCTTCGTCTTTGATTCAGGTAAAACTTTTTTAATCTTTTAATTTCTATTATTTTTTTACCTCTATACGGTAGGGGAAGCTTGAATATTTGTAAAGATCTTTTCCAAATCCTACAAACAGGTACTAATTTTGATTCTCTTATTTTTTCCGGTTTTGAAGTTATGAATTTGTTGTTAATTGAGTAAGGTTGTTGATAATTTTAATAGTTTGGAAACTAATAGACTGTCTTGGAAACATATATTGCAATGGTTCGAGTTGCAGACTCAATTCCAGTCGAATTACAGAAAGTCCCCTTCTCTTACAAGATATTAACACAAGGGTAAGGTATATGTTTCTAATTTCTTTTCCCTACAATTAAAGGGCCTGATGGTGTAGGATGTTTGGAATATTTTTTAGAAAAAACTCTAATCACAATGGCTCTATATCCGAAATTTGATTATCATGGGTTTGTTCACTTATTATTGTCAATAGAAACAATTTATGTTCTGGCTTCTAGAATAATTTCTGCTTGTCCTTGGGAGAACATTTTTAAGGAGTTATATTATTCTCTAGAAGTAGATCATAGTTAGACGAGAGACGAGAGGAAGCTGAAAAGTTTCGACTTGTGGCATGAGATTCAGTCAGAGGTTCTTGGAGAGGCAAAATCATGTGTTAGAAAATAGATTTTGTTATGTTCTGATTTTGTGGGATTAGTTTTACCTTTCTAAACCGGTGTATATACAGGTGAACTACATTATTGCTCAAGGTAATAAATAAATATATATATATATATATATATATAAACTTTTCCAGGCATTGAGCTCTTTTGTGAGTTTTACATTGTGCATGTGATTCTTGATGATCTTCTGCTATCTTTCAACACCACTGATGATAACACTCAAAGCCGATACCTTTTAGCTGATAGATAACTAATCAGGATAAGTTTCTCATGTCAAAACATGTGCCTGAGTTTCAATGATTAATTCCTCATACAGTTTATTCAACAAGTCATAGGACTTGTATAGTGATCTATTTATGGTTCTTTGACAGTTTAGTTAGATTATTTTTCTGTGCATAAATAAATTTGATATAGTCATTGGATGTTATTCCTCTTCTGCTAACATGAGTTTTATTTTGAGATTACAATAGATGAGGCTTCTATGTCAGTTATTTATTGGAACTTTTCTTCCTCACACACTGTATAACTTTTAACATGCCTATCAATGAAGTAAATCTTTGATCACTCAATTGTCCAGTATAGTTTTTGAATGGTAGAGTACTTAAGGTTTTGGGTACCTGTGTTTTGCATCATTGGTATGATCTGCGTGCCCTTTTGTTAAAAGAAAAGTTCAACTTTCTCTGCCAAGTGAACTAGTAGCAATGTCCAAGTTGTTGCTTTAGCAGAATCTAGAAA